CACAGCTGCCACTGCAGACGGTTTGCCGTCCCTCCCACCCCTCCCCTCCACTCGCATGACCCCTTTACCTTTTTTTTTGTGTCCCATCCTCCATCCGTCTATCGAGCCGTCGCCGTCGTCTCCCTCATTGCGTCCTTCCGCCGGCTACTCCACCGGATCGGGGTAAAAGTGAAAAGGAGTCGGTGCTGCGTGCAGTGTGTCGGGGGCACTAAGGTCCTTGGCCGTTGGCGGCGTGGCGCGGCGTGGCCGCCAGGTGCAGGGCGCTCAGGCAGGAGGGCCACGTGCTGGAGGGGTGCCGGGCCGGGACGAGCCGGGCGGGCCGGGCAGGCCTCAAGGACGCTGGTCTTTGTGATGGTAATGGTGTCTGGGGCCTTGGCCGGCCCGGCCCGCCGCCGCGCTGCACCGGCCGCCCCGCATGTAATTGCTCGTCTGCTCTTGCACCTGGACAAGGAGGGCGTCGTGCGCCTCGCGTGTGTGTGAGTGACACTGCAGCAGCAGCAGCAGAGCGCGCGCGCCCTCACCGCGTGTCGCCCGGAAGTCAGTCGCCCTCCCGTCCGTCCGTCCGTTGCCACCACCACCGGAAGCAGACGGGTCGTTCGGTTGGGCGGTGGGGTCGGTCGTCTGGACCGATGAGTCGCGCATCCGCCGGTGCAGTCCCGCCCCGCCCTGCCCCGCCCTCCGTGTGAGCTGCATGCTGCACTGGACCGCCGCCGCCCTGGCCCTGGCTGGGCCGTATCCTTGTGGCTTGGCCGCGCCCTCCGCCGCCCGGCCCCGGCCCGCCTCGGCGGAGACAGTACGGAGGAGAGTGACCCACTTTCCTACACCGGGCCGAGGGGGCCCGTGAGGGACTGCCCGCCCCGCCGAGCCCTGCCGCGCCGCGCGAAGAAAGAGAATTATTTTGATGGATGGCCCCGTGATTTACAAAAGAGCCTTGCCTATTGGCGGCAAGGCCCTGCAATTAGCCCCCAATTGGCACGGCGATGCCGCCGCCGAGGTGTCCGTCTGTCCGACCGTCTGCCGCCGTCACCTTGTCGTCTGTCTGTCACTAACGCCGCCCTTCTTCTCTCTGTTTTGCAGCCGTGAGATTCGGGCGCGTCCCCAAGCGGGAGAAGGCGCGCATCCTGGCCGCCATGCAGCAGAGCTCCAACTCGCGCTCCGCCGAGAAGGCCGTCGCCGCCGAGCTGGAGGACGAGTCGGCCCTCTTCAGCACGGTGGTGCGCGCGCACCTCGACACGTGCGACTTCACCCGCGACAAGGTGGAGCCCATGCTGGTGCGCGCCCGGGAGCAGCCCTCGTACACCGCCTGCCCGCCCACCCTGGTAAGTGTCTCTTCCCTTTCTTTCTTCTTCTTCTTGACCCATTCCATAGTCCTCCCCTCTGGAGTTCAGAAACCACCTGGACTTTGAGGGGGATCCAAATATTATGGAGTCCCAAACGGATCAGGACTGTCATCGGAGTCCATGGAGACCCCATGGTATTTTTACCCCAGGGTACAAATATCATGGTGTCCACGGTCCACGTCTTACCATCCCGATCCTTTTAGGGACATCATACTTTTTGATCCCCCCTCGAAAGACCACACGTGGTTTCTGAACAGCCCCCGCGACTGGACGGGACGCAACTCGGGCGTTGTTGGGAGTGTCGAGCCGAGCTCGTCGGGATGGTTCGAACCTGCGCGTGCGAGCGGGAGCGGCGGCGGCGTCAAGGCCGCATGATAAGACCGAGAGGGGCGGGGGGTGATAACCGAGCCGCAGAATTTCCTCCCGTGTTTGCCGCCTGCTGCGGTTCGGGGAAGGCAAACACTCGCGGGGCCGGGGGGTCGTGCTCGAGGGCTCTGAGTCAGTGTACAGCAGCGTGAGCGAGATAGAGCGCGCGCGCGTGTGTCAGTGTGTGTATGTGTTCCAAGTGTGCGTTGTTGCACAGTCTTTGGCGAGGCGGAAATGCCGAAGGCCACAGAGTATGTGCGAGAGAGAGGCCGCCGCGCCGGTCGAGTGACACGCTTCTCATCTTTCTGCCGGCAATGCCCTCCCGGCCGCCGGTCACACACTTCCGTTGGGCTCGCCGGGGTCCCCCTGGGCCCCCTCCTGGCTGGTCTGGCTGCCCCCGTGCCCGTCCGCCCCGCGCCCCGCCGGCGACGGGTCGCGTCCGCGTCGGGCGGTCGCTAACGGCACTTCTACGCGTGTCAGGCGGGGCGCGGGCAAGGCCGCGCCGCGGCGCTTTGCTCGCGCGGCTCGCGCTGCCTGCTCGTCGCGGAGCCAAGCGAAATAAAACACCTTTCTCTCTCATCGAGGCTACCTGGGATAGAAATAGACCGGCCTGCCGCCTCCTGGCGGGGCGTGCCGCGGCGGCACCTCGCGACTCCTCTTCGGCGGGCGTGGCGCCGGCGTGGCGCGGGCGTGGCGCCACCGCCGTCCTGCAGAGGGTGCCGAAGGGGGAGAGAACCGCGGCGATAACGAGCAAGGCAAGGAAGCACGTGCGTTTGGGCGCGCAGCGGCGGCTGCAGCGGCTGCAGCGTTTCTCCCCGACCTTGGCCCCCCTCTCTCGCTCGCGCTCACTTTCGTTTTCCACGCGAGCCCGCCCGCCCGTCCAGTCCGGTCCACTCCAGCCCCGGCCACTTTCTTTTCCCTCTCCATACTAGCTCTGTCCGCCCGGCTTTACTGACGGCCCCCTTGTCTCTCTCGTTGCAGACGTGCCCGCTGAACCCCAACCCTGTGCCGCTGTCCGGCCAGCAGGAGCTGCTCCAGGACTTCAGCAAGCGGTTCTCGCCCGCCATCCGCGGCGTGGTCGAGTTCGCCAAGAAGCTCCCCGGCTTCCTCCACCTGGCGCAGGACGACCAGGTCACGCTGCTCAAGGCGGGCGTGTTCGAGGTGCTGCTCGTGCGGCTGGCCTGCCTCTTCGACAGCCACACCAACTCCATGGTCTGCCTCAACGGCCAGGTGCTCAAGCGGGAGAGCGTGCACAACTCCAGCAACGCGCGCTTCCTCATGGACTCCATGTTCGACTTCGCCGACCGGCTCAACGCTCTCCGGCTGTCGGACGCGGAGATCGCCCTCTTCTGCTCCATCGTGGTCGTGGCCCCGGACAGGCCCGGGCTGCGCAACACGGAGCTCGTCGAGAGGATGCACTTGAAGCTCAAGCAGGCCCTGCAGGTGGTCGTCAGTCAAAACCACCCGGGCCAGATGTCCATCGTGCACGACCTGATGAAGAAGGTGCCCGACCTTCGCACGCTCAACACCCTGCACTCGGAGAAGCTGCTCGCCTTCAAGATGACCGAGCAGCAGCAGCAGCTCAACAGCCACAGCCAGCACAACGGCAGCATGTGGGGCATGATGTGCGGCGAGGCTGACGACTCCAGCAAGTCCCCCGCCGGATCGTCATCCTGGTCCTCCGCCTCCGACGTCACCATGGATGAGGTCGTGAAGAGCCCCCTTGGGTCCGTCTCCAGCTCAGAGTCAGTCTGCTCTGGGGAGGTGGCGTCCCTCACGGACAGCCCCTACCCCGCTAGTCACCACGGCAGCCACCATAGCCACCACAGCCACCACCACAGCAGTCACGCCTCGTCAGCGCCCCTGCTGGCCGCCACCCTCGCCGGCACCCTGGGCGCCTCCGGCTGCCCCATGCGCCACCGCGCCAACTCCGGCTCCACCTCTGGGGACGACGACCCCCAGCACCACGCCATGTCGCTGTCCGCGGCGCTCGCGTCCGGCCGGCCGCTGGTGCAGCCCCATCACCGGTTCCCCCGGAAGTTGGACTCGCCCAGCGACTCGGGCATCGAGTCTGGAACTGAGAAGCTAGACAAACTGGGCGCGCACTCCGCACCCACGTCTGTCTGCTCGTCGCCCAGGTCGTCGCTCGAGGACAAGGACGAGCACTCCCACCCCAGCCACGTTGAGGACATGCCCGTCCTCAAGAGGGTGCTGCAGGCGCCGCCGCTGTGCGATACCAACTCGCTCATGGACGAGGCCTACAAGCCCCACAAGAAGTTCCGCGCGCTGCGGCACAAGGACTCGGCCGAGGCCGAGCCCATGGTGGTGGCCTCGCCGTCGCCCGCGCCGGTTCACGTGGCGGCCCCCGCGCCGCCCAGCCACACCTCCTCCCTGTCCAGCACGCACTCGACGCTGGCCAGGAGCCTCATGGAGGGGCCCCGCATGACCGCGGAGCAGCTCAAGCGGACCGACATCATCCACAACTACATCATGGCGGGCCACGGCGACTACCCCCACCACTACATTCCCCCGGCGACACAGCGGTGGCAGCCCTCCGCGTCGGCCACCTCCGGCGTCATCACCTCGGCGGCCTCGGCCTCGGCCTCCACGTCGCCCTACCCCTACTCGACGCTCGCCCCCAACTCGACGAGCAGTCCGTCACCACCACCCTCCCAGCCCGGCTCCGAGCTGTCCAGGATATACCTGAGCAGGAGTCCCGCCTGCTCGCCGTCGTCCACCGGGCACGGCGCGCACGCCTCGCACCTCACCGCCGCCCTCGCCGGGCACTCCCCCAAGCTGGTCGAGCTGCAGGTCGGCATCGCGGCAAACTCGCAGCCCCTCAACCTGTCCAAGAAGTCCCCCTCCCCCTCGCCGAGGCCGCTGTCAGCGCCGCAGCCCGCGCCCCATAAAGTGGTGTCGTTAGAAGCCTAGACTCTTACTTTACCTTCAGGCGGGGCGGGGCGGCCTGAACGACTGCTAAGTGTGAATAGTACAAAGCCAACCACAGTGGTACAAACAGTCCATTCGCTCGGCGAGTGGAGGCGGCGCCTCGACCGGACCTTAGTGACGGGGCGCTGATATCACTGATCACTCTTCGAAGGTGCCACTTTAAAACTGTATTAAGAACCAAATAATTTATTACTTCTTAATTCTATTGTGTGTTGTAAGTCTATGTATAGTGTTGCTGTGTTGTGAGCCGGATTCTCGTCTGGTCTCGTATAGCATCAATCCTAAATAATATTCATTATATGTGATATATTTCATTGTAGGAAGTGCATTTTTTTTTATTTGTGTAAAGTTTGTTGAGTCTATTGTACATCTTTTTTTTCGAATTTGTAAAGAGAATTCATTTAATGTTAATTTTTCTTCTCCTTCTGTACATGCATATAAGAAAGGTGTTAGATTAAAACGAAAACCAACCTCAACGAATGTCTGAGGAAAATTGAGACTGAGGGAAGTCAACGGCACCCGGAAGTGAAAACAAATGTCGTGGATGCTGTATCGTATGTACTTGTAGTGTGTTAGGCGTCTGTATCAATGTCTAGTTCTTAGTCAATCACCCCAATCACTGCTCCAATTATTTAATTTATCTATTCAATTATCTAAACTCCGATGGCCGTGACTTCCTACGTATCTTGAGCCACACTTGGGCATGGCTCTTGTGTGGTTCTGTAATTTGTTGTTGTTTTATATAAAAAATACCTGCAATATTAGATGCAATGCATATTTAGTACGTTTGACACGGTCGGCGATCCCATCATTAGTAGAGAGGCTAAATAATTTTGTTTCATCTTTTCTAAGAAAAGTTACTGACATACGAAATTTACCCTCCCTTTCTTACCTTACCATCGTAGTCTTAACCATTTTTGTCAGGCATTGTAATGGAATAAGCAAATTTTTTTGTCGCATTTAT